TATAAGTAGAAATATAAAAGTATTATAAAATTATAATATATAAAAATAACTATTTGAACTAATTTAAACAAATTTATGAATAGTTAGAGTTAAAGTAAAAGTTATAGTTTAAATAATAGTTAAATTAGAGTTAGAGTTAGTATTTTTTTATATTAAATAATCTTATAATATCTTTATATTCCCATCTATACTAAATAAAATTTAAGTTAACTAATAATATCTATCAATATTAGTTTGAATTGATAGTAATTATTATTATTTATAATTATTTATATTAATAACTATTGATATTTTTTATTAATAACAATTAATAATTGATTAGTATTTAATAGTTATCAGCTAAAAAAAAATTCTAATAATAAGAAAAATAACAAAAATCAGGTAATTTTTTAGAGAGGAAAAAGATAAAAAAAGTTAAAATTATATATAAAAACCTAATCAAATATAATAAGAAAGAAGAAGGGGAGTATGCTTCTAATAAAAAAAATTAAATAATAAATAACACTGCTCTAAAAGGTTAGAGATATATACAAAATAGTAGATATATATATAGCCAAATAAAGATATTAGTTTATTAAATATAAAGTTAAAAAATAAGAACCAAAATCTAATCTGTTTTATAAAAAAAAACAAGGTTTATATAGCTTTAGAATTATTAAGAAAACACTATTGTTATATTGGTAAAACATATCAAAGTATATACTATGTTAAAATACTATACTAAAATACTATACTAAGGTACTATACTAAGGTACTATACTAAGTACTATACTAAGATACTATACTAAGGTATTATACTAAAGTATATACTATACTAAGATACTATACTAAAGTATTATACTATATAAGATATATATTAATATATTATTGCTCAAAATTTGAAAAATTTGGCTATAGTTTGTTTTAATAATTTTCTAAATTTTTTAAATTTTATTAATAATAATTTAATAAATACTTGTCTAAAATTCGATAAAAGTATTTATTGTTAATTTTAAACTATAGTCTGACCTCTTTATAGTCACCTCCTATATAAGCACATTTTCTTTATAAGCTTATTTTTTAAAAAACAAACTATTATTCAATATAATAAATTTAACCTCTATAACTAGAAGTGTCAAGATTGATTATGAAAGAACATTTCAATCGATGAAATTTTGATGAAAAAATTGTGACTTTACGCTATGATGAAAGATATTAAGGACGTTCTCAAGCGCCTTAATCAATGGATCAAAGTACAGTAAAACCTCTATAAGTGCACACTCTTGGACCAAGCTTTAACAACATGCACTTAGAGATCAATAAGAGAAAGTGCATTTATAGATAGCATATATACAGTATAGAACTTGAGTGTGTGCACTTATAGAGGGTGCACTTATGGAGGTTTTACTGTACGTCGAAAATGTGTCAGGAATTAAATTTTAATTAGCGGAAAGTATTTTTAATCGATCAATCAAGCTCGCCATTGAGATAAGTAAGGTAGTTTATTACGTGAAAGAAAAAACTTTAAATGTTGTAGTAAAAATAAACAGCATTTTAGTTAAAAAAAACTTTTTGCCCAACCACCTTTTTTTTACGCTGACTTAGCGTACGTCACTGACTATAGTACTTTTAATAAACCATCGAATTTCTTGAATAGTACCCACCTGGGTACTAATTTAACAATTTCCTGAATCATGAACCCATCTATTGGGAGTATTATAGCGGGGATACTGTAGTCAGTGCCGTACGGTATAACTATTAAAATGAATAAAGTATTGCTCAAGCATTTTCATACATTTTATTATAGATCTTTATTATCGACACACATTATTTGTAAAATTTTCGACAATTCTCTCAAGCAGTGATTGAGATATTATTTGATCTATCGTTGCAATTGAGCATACTACAAATATTAGAAAATTACAGTAATAGTAATGCTTGAGCATATCTAAATAATATAGTCATTCATATTATTGATTTTTTTATCTAGAATGTTATGACAAAAGCTAAATTACGTAATACTTGTGCACTATTTCGATCACTATGAAATAAGGTTGATGCTTGAGAATACCCTAAATTATAAAATCAGAACTTTAGAGATACAGTAGTTGAAATACTGGAAGCACTTAAGATTTAACAAATATCTGTGAAAATTCATTAAATACAGGTATAACCAGATGCTTCATAATATATATAAAAATTTTAATGAACATATTGAAATTCTAACGAAAATAGTGAGTGCCGATATAAATTACGAGAAATCAGTCAATTCTAGTAGATTTTTCGATTCTCAGGAAATTAAAAATTTTAAACTATAGCTTTGTTTAATTATAATAAACCAATCGTTTGATGCACTACAGCTACTACAATACCTTAAATATTATATATAATTAGTATATCGTAAGCCCTTAACAATGCTTCTATTTAAAATTTTAAATATGCAATGCAATACGAAAATATATATATAATTATTATTAACCATAAATTCAACACTTAATGTTTAAATTAGGTCAATAAATAGTACGTACCGCACTGCCTTTAGTACCCGGGTCTTATAAAAAAAAAAGGATATTATACATGGAAATATATACCCATGGGTACTTAACCAAGGGTGAGTACAGAAGCTGGGGGTACTGTAACATGGTTATATTATGCTTCAATAACTTTCAATTAAATCTATTAAATCTTAATACCCGGATCTTATACAGTTTTTTCGAGACTTTTTTTTTGTAATGTATCCGGGTATTATTTGAAGGGGGATATTAAATGTGGGCAGTACGGTAATTTGTTCAATTTATTTTGATGCATCATCGGTCTAATTGCAAACATGAAAACTTCTAAAAAAAATTTTTATATGTTTTAATAACCGGGTGGTTTTAAAAAAATTTTTTTACATAAATTTTTATAAAATTTTATATATGAAATTTAAAAAAAAAGCCGGCCGACCGGGTCTATTTTTAAATTTGATGTTATGAAAACCAAGTAATTAAATTTGTATGGCCTTAGTGATCACCATCCCAATGCATGATTATGTACGTAAAATTGTTGCGAGGGTAACAATGGTATCCTATTTTAGCATGCTTTTAGTATATGTAAACATGAATTATTTGTTTATTATTAAACTTTAAAATTTAATAATAAAAAACATACTTCTTAAAGTATATTTTATTTTTTAATCCAAGTACGTATCTAAGTTTTATTTAAACATTACGTTTTAAACAGTAAATGCGTTATGAAAAATGTATAACATAATATATAATCCGATTTATATTGTATGTACAATATACAGTACAGCAGTATGAAAACTTTCTTAGACTGTAAAATCCAATGATGTTAGAAAGAAATTTTTTTTATCATGTAAATCACTTTTTTTCAAATAATTCTCGTAAAATAATGGAATGAAAGAAGAATAGGATTTGTAACTCTCCTTCAATGTGATTTACTAGTGATCAAAACAATCCATATCTATATCGATAAAGATTAGTCAAAGTAAATAGGAGTAATATCATACTATATAATTGAATTATTTTCACATATCTCTCTTGATGTAATTAACTTTTGGTTGCGTTGACGCTCAAATATTACAATGATTATCAAAATCTAAATATAAAAATGTAGAATCAACAAACGAATAAAGCACCCATTTACAACAATTTTATGTTCTGTTTCATCTTTTTTCATACTACAAACCAACAAGAAACGAAACATTACAAAATTTCATATCCCACTCAAATTTTCAGAATCTTTATCGATTAAAATATCTTCCACTAATTAAATTTTTATCTCTGACAGCTTTACTACATTATTGGATATTTAATTCGTTAAACTATTTTTTTAAAAAAATTTACTCCAGATCATTAATTAAGGCGCTTGAGAACACTCTTATCCTGGTTAACTCTTCTTTCGGCGAAAAACTTCCCAGCTTACCAAAGTATTAAAGAATAATTGACTTCCGAAGAACTATCTTCATGTCTGCGGAGTTTCACGGATTATAAATTTTTTAATGTATATCACGTGTTTATTTTTTCTTATCTGTGATTCACAAATTTGACACGTTTGACGTTTTTTATGTAGCCAATCAACGATAAACACAACTGCAATTACCTGTCAATATACATTTGGTAATTCTTGATTCAACTTCCCGAATTTATTTTCTTTCCTCATTTGACACAATGAAGCTTACTTCGCTTTCCCTTTGGGGGCTTTTCCTATTACTTTCTGTTGATTTAATTTATGGAGGAACTGATTATTATCAAATTCTGGGCGTTCATCGCTCTGCAACACAACGAGAAATTAAAAAACAATATAAACAATTGTCAAAAAAATATCACCCTGATAAGAATCCTGGTGATAAAGAAGCTGAACAAAAGTTCGTTCAATTAGCTGAAGGTATTTTACGATTATTACCGCGATTTTATAACTTACTATAATAATAACGCGCGATGTTGTAATAAAATAGTTTACTAAAACTTTTCCCTTTATAGCTTACGAAGTTTTATCTGACGAAACAAAACGTTCAATCTATGATAAGTACGGTGAGGAAGGATTAAAGCAACACGGCTCCGGTGGCAATAATTTTCATAATCCCTTTGATATCTTTGCTAAATTCTTTGGTGGATCGGGTCACTTTGGTGATTCTAATTCGCAGGAACGTCAAGGTCCAAATATAATTATGGATATAGAAGTTGACTTAAAAGAGTTATATTTAGGAACTCAATTTGATGTTGATATTTCAAAACAAGTAATTTGCTCTCATTGTAGAGGAAGTGGTGCTAAAAGTGATGATGATGTCATATCATGCGATGCTTGTGGTGGACGAGGTGTTAAAGTAGTTAAACAAATGCTCGGTCCAGGAATATTTCAACAATTTCATTCCACGTGAGTACCTTTTTTTTATTTATTCTATTCAATTTCTAATTATTAATAATGTTTGCTTCTAATTTAAGGTGTGATTCATGTGGAGGAAAAGGTAAAATTGTAAAGTCTAAATGCCCCATTTGTGGTGGAAAGAAGGTTCTACGCGCGAATGAACAGTTAACTGTCATTATAGATCGAGGAATGAAAGATGGAAACACTGTGGTATGTTACTATCCTTCAATTTTTTATAGTTTAAATCAATGTTTAATGTATATAATTCGAAATTTTATTATAATAGGTTTTCGAGAAAGAAAGTGATGAGGCTCCAGATACGATACCTGGTGATATCATATTTAAAATAAAAACTCTTCCAAATTCAATATTTACAAGAAATGGTGATAATTTATATAAAAAAGAAACCATTTCATTAATTGACGTAAGCATTTATTATACATATATATATATATGTACATACATATTTTTCTTTAAATCGTTTCTTATTAGTACTTGAATTAAATTTAGGCACTTACCGGTTTTGAAAGAAATTTGACACATCTTGATGGTAGAATCGTCACAATAAAACGTGATACAGTGACACAGCCAAATCTTGTTCAAATTATTAAGAATGAGGGTATGCCAAAGCATCGAACACAAGCTAAAGGTGACTTATATGTAGAATACACTGTAGTGTTTCCTTCAGTCATTGATGATGTAACAAAAGAAGGTAAGAATTCTAATATTACTTATTTTTTTTCAATGAGTTTATTAACTTTATCAATGTGTTATTTATTTTAGGTTTAAAGAAACTTTTCCCTAATATCGATAATTCACACAGGTCCGACCATGATGAATTATAGTATTAAAAAAAAAAAAAAGAACGATAATTTTTAATACGATTTTAGAAAATGAACGCATATATGTACTCTATTTCAATCCATCATTATCGCTATCACAACTTTACCCCATAATTTCGATTTCAGCTCACATTTAAGGATTTTATATAGGAACAATGTGAACATTTTGCACACTTTATTTATCTTAGCAGATTATATAATGTTATGTAATTAATAATTAGCAATTTCTAATTACACTGTTTTAAAATTTTTATTTATAGTATGACCTTATTTGATAGAAATGTAATTTGCATAGATTTTGTAGAGATATTTGGGATATTTATAAGACAACTATTCATTGAATTCCATCATCTGTGATGATATGAATAATTCAAGTCATTAAATCTTTAAACATTTTTGTCAATAATGGTTGCAAAAAAAACATTTAAAAATAATATATATATTTTTTTTCATTTAAAAAAAAATTAAATAACGTACGTACGTACGTTTTTTTTATCAGTTATAAACATTTATCATTATAATTCAGGACCGTTACAGATAGAGTTAGCTAGGCAGCCAATGTTACACTAAATTTATACCTTGCATATAGTGATTCTGGCCGAGCATAATTTTTTTGCTATTACCAAGCCGTTAATTTTCTTTAGCCGATTTTTTTCACTATCGGCCAAAATCACTACTTGCATAACATCATGAAAATATCAATGATTATTCCACCTGCATAGACACTCCAGTAAATTACGGGCAGGTATATTTTTAAAAAAAATTAGAATTATGCATAATATGTCATAATCACACTGCAGAAAATCAGCTGTCTGCCGGGATAGCACCAAGACTGTTTCTTTTTAAAATACAAAACTTCTAAAAATAACAATAAAAGTCTATTTTTGCGTGTTTGGTGATATTAAGAAAAAGCTACAGTACAATCTATTTCTTTATAATGGTATTGTTTGTATGTCAGATGTTATAGTTTTTGCTAATGTTGCGGGCGAAACCCGCCAAATCCGAATCTGAAATTCGGACGATACTAGTATACAAACTCAATCCAAAAAATCTGAAATTGTCCGAGACTATGATTGGTCATGTTCAAAAACGTGATCCAATCGTGTAAAATTTTTTTGGTTCATAATTTTTGTAATTGAAGTTGATTAGACAATCGTACATGCGGGCAGCTTTGCTGTTCAGTTTCAACTACTGTTAAACTTCCCAAAACCGATATAAATATCAGTATTGAGAGGTCATCAGATTTTATAACATTATAAACGATTAGATTCATACTGAAACTGATCCTTTCAAACCTGTCAAATCTAATAAAAAATTAATATGTCACGTGAATATTTCACATTGACTACTTAGCACTAGAATATGTATAAATAATTAGGATCACAATTAGGGTTGGGGCACGGCATAACGCCCTAAATCATCACATGATAACAATTAGTAAAACATCACAAGGTAATTAATAATTTCCATGTGATGAGTAACATCACGTTCTCGTGCCCCTGTGACAAATTTAAATCACACCCCGTGCCCAACCCTACCTATACATGGTTATAATGATTACATTTCAAAAATTAGTGCATCGTTCTGATATGGATAAATGGTTAGAACACGGGTCCGTAGCCAAATGCTTCCGAGCTTGCTGCAGGTTCGAGTCCAGCTGGCGCC